TAAATGAATAAAATAAAAATCTAAAATACAGATAAGTAAACAGAGCAAAGATATAAAAAAAAAAGATCATAAATCATGCCTTATTGACTTTTTAAATATTTAAATTAAAGAGCTGGGGAGAAATAAAAAGAATCCGCATGAAGCCAAGAAAACCAAGGAAACAACAGATCAAAACTGTTTGCCAAACAGCCATCACTTAGGGTCAAAGAGAATAAATTTCAACCTCTGAAAACGTCAGCATTAGGGAAACCAACCTGTGTGACTGAAATTTCGATGAAGGCAGAAGCTCTGCTTCTTTACCCCAGTAGGGCATCCACGATTTTTAACCAGTAGCTGTAAGAACTCAATAGCTTGCAGCAACCCCCTTGCTGTAGGGATTAAACTACTGATATGGAGAAAACTGTTCCTTTTTCTTCTCTACAATAGACATGCTATAGAACAAAACAGTGGAATAGAAAAGAAATTCAAATGGGCCTCAATACATTCTCTTACTAGCCTACTTCACATTTTCCCAATGTATTTCTAAAATTATCCTCATGACCTTATTGAAATTCAAAATAATCAGTTGGAGTATTTTATGTTCTTAAGTTTTGTTCTATCTCAGAAATAAAAAATGCCTCCATAGTAGCAAAATTAATAGTTCTGAAATAGACATTTTAATGGATATATTTAAGACAGATTTATAAAACTGAGAAGACAGTAAGAGTTACACAAGAACAAAACGCTCCCAAAAGTGCCAGCAGACTGCTTATAAGCATGATGAAAAAATCCAAAATCAACAACTCCTTGAAAAGCTGCAAAAGGGGGAAGAGGCCACATTTGGACATAGTTTTTATAACAACAACTAGCCAAAAGTTAATCCCAAACTTTAAAACTTTCAGATAAACATGGTGCAGGGGGAAGCTCTTCAAGCCTAGAACCAATGATGCACGTCTGAAATTACATTAATACCTTTTATTACAGAAAAAAATAGATCATGAATTTCATGTCCTCATATTAAGTCTTCACTCCTGGCTGCAGCTCCACCCTTTCACAGGTCTGTGTCAGTGCCTGCCTCTACACCTGCTAGCCTTTTTCATCAAGCAAATTTTTGCAGCCCTAAAACAGTCAGAGCTGACATCCCATTTTGCTTCTGACTTCATGATCTAAGACGTTTTATGAACCACAACTGAGAGCTAAGTATGCCTATCCCAAAGAGCAATGATGAAACTAAGCATTTTATTAGCATCAGTAATACCCTCTTAATGCAATGTTGAGCAACCAACTGCACATCCTTTAATCAACTGGCCATAAATAAACACTTAAAATCGCAAAAAAAAATCTTTTATCCCTAGCTTCCTATCACCAAAATGGGATATACACACAAAACACTCAATCAAGAAAATTCTCATTTTAGCTTTACCTAAATAGAACCTATGGGTTTGGTTTTTTAAAACCAAGAAAAAATTACTGTGCAGTTCCCACACTGTTTCTACATTAATAATTGGTATGGCATCTGATGGCCTAAGGCATAAAAGCCTTGACATTGAAACACAGCTCAGAGATCTCCACGATTACAATTGCCACAAACTTCTACCTTAATACTTTCACATGTCTCTCTCACCACTTCAGCTGAAGGGGAATGGAGACTAGCCCAGCAATATATTCCAAATAAATAACAACCAAACTCTCCACTTGAGACCACAGATACTTGCTACCCAGTTAGTACCTGCAGCAAAAGCTCTTTTCCCTTTTACAAAACTGGTTTACGCCTTAATTTAAAGGAAATAAGTGCTTAATTCCCATAGTTAGAAAAAGAAATAAAAACGATCAATCAAAACCGCATCATGGAAGGGCTGCTTTCTAAAGAAAACACCGATCTTGGTTCATCCATACAGATCTGGAACCTAATGAAATCCGACACCTTTACTCTGAAGACAAATTTGCATTGTATTATCAACTAGGGCTCCGTGCTCACAGATGCACTTCATTCAGCATGCAGTAACGGGTTCATTAAAGCAGCATCACTCAAATTTTTTAAAGCCATTTTGCAGACAAAATTTTTAAATGCGATTTGGTAAGCAGTATTATCCAAAAAAAATGTCTCTGTTTTATTCTACGGGTTAAAATGTGCCTCCTCAATCTAAAACATACAGATGTTGTAGCCAAGGTTATACAAGGAGATCTTCATTAAGTTGAGCAATTCCCATTTTGTGTCGCTGCCTTACCAGACATAAATGCGTGCATTCCTCATTACATGAACTGAAGCTGCATCACAGCTATCCAGTACAAATAACACAGTTATTTTTAAATATAGCATGACAACGTTAACATCAGGTCTTCATGCCGTATAAAACAGGGGAAGAGCAAACAAACTCGGTTTAGGAAGGTAATCTCCTTCTCATCTACCTTGCCTTGCTTCTCCACCTCCTCCTTCCGCTTAAGATTCAGTTTAAGGCATTCCCTGTTTTCCCACTTTTCCAGGCTTCCAGTTAAGAAATCAACCATCCGCAAACATTTTGTTCCTCCACCCCGCCTCCTCGTGAGCAGAGCATTCAGAACATCCCCACCGGCACTGCCCCCAAATCACCTAATTGTTATCATTACTGCGGTCTCAGCACCGGCTCGGAACAAAACCAGTCCGACTACACCCTCGCTGGCTATAAAAAGTAAAGAAGGGAGAG